ATCCAGGCAATTCTATGAATTCCTGTGAGTGTTCCGGAGGTGTAGTGCTGTGTGTTGGTGCAGTGTCCACCAGAGTGTCCTTGGGATGCAGTTGACGGCCTCCACGGATTAGCTGCCCCAGCTCCGGTGAGTCTCCCAATTTATTAATTGGTGAAGGGATCTCGATAGATAGTTAAGATTCGTTCTGATACGTTTCCGTTCGTGTATCCAGTTGCGTTTGCTGATTTTACGCGTCCCCAAGAATCGACAGGACCCGTTAAGCTGTCGCCTCGTCCGATAGGTTCCGTCAGAGCTCTCGTTCTTGGTGGAGTTGGGCCTGTTCCACCCCAACTGCCAGTTTATACCGGCTCGTCAGTTCCTGGTGAAAAAAGAATTGGCTGGGGGCCGCCTGGCTTGCGGATGCACGAACGACGAGTGGACGGCCGAAGGTAACGTCGGTTGGTTCTCGAAGATAGTTCGTTCTCGTATGTTTTGCTATCGGTGTCGGGTCATAAGTTAAAGAATTACGTTAAAAACTTTATAGACAGCTGACGGCGCGGGGATTAATTTGTCCTGGTTATAAAAGAAGAGAAAATTCAGTGATCGTGAGCAAATATAGTATTATTCAAAAACATTGGAATAACTGAGGTTAGACCCCTTTTTCGATTTCTATGATAAAAGCATCTTCACGTGACACGATATTCCTGAATAATCCTGTATGTTCTATATACATAGATATATATATGATAACAACGCTATAGAGAACGGCGTAGGAAAGCAGCTATCAAATTTCAAATTCGAGATTAAGCAAATATTTGATTCCGTTCATCTCGATGAAAATGATGTGTGTGTGTGTGTGTATCAACGATATTGCCGCACTGTATGAATCATGTTGACGATACCTGTTATTGCTGATAAAAAATCTCCCCAGCCGTTCAATCAAATATTAATGAAAAATAGCAGCATATCCATACTTGCTTCATCATGACAATTGACATTCCGTGTAACGTTTCAATGTAAGCCGATAAGCAAATGATTTCCATAATATGGGACTGCGCTTTCTCGTAGGGTCCCTAGAATGACTCCTAATAGAAAAAGTCTCCAGGGACGAGTAAGGCGACGGAACGAGGGTGCCAAGGGGTACTTTAGGCAGGTATAGAAGAATTACCAAGGGGATGAAAACCATTCGACTCGAATCTCGTCCGTGCGTAAAGTTACATGCGAGTAGTTCGAATATAGTCATTTGAAAATGTTTAAATGTTCTCCCAGCATGCATCGGCGCGTGTGAAATATATGAAGGTTGCCAAGTGAAACAGAGTGAAGTTTGACGAAGCGACAAGGGCTGGCGGTCACCAGTGTTGCCATAGGCAGGAGGAATTGAAAATGAAATTCGTGTGGCAACTCGCACTGGGCGTGAAAGCGGAAACGTTAGGAAGCTTTTATCCCCCTTTTCCGCTTTACATGCAACCGCGCATGGATTTCGCCGGAACATTGTTCTCGGCGGCAATGGAGATTCGTTCGAAACCGCCTGGCTCACCGAAGGAAAGGGTAACCCTTGCCATGAGCCCATTTCATGAACTGCAGGTGCTAGAGAGAGAGAGAGAGTGGAGGTTGAGCTCACGTTGAAATTAACAGTCCCGTAAAAGGTGAGCTTTAAAAAGATTTTTTTAAATATCATGCAACGTTTAGATACCCTTTTGATACTGTGCTTACCTTGTATCTATAGAGTGGACATCCTAATTCCACAGCGAGGACGGCGTATCGGCCGTTTCCTGCCGGGATGCTCACAATACGCAGAGAGAAGGAGACAGAAGAGAGAGAGAGAGAGAGAGAGAGAGAGAGAGAGAAATATTCTCGGAGCATTGCCAAGGTACCGCTCGCAAAATACATCGTCCGGAAGTAGGAGCTTTCGAGCTTTCGAGTTGCCACAGCTCGAGAGAGAGAGAGAGAGAGAGGAGGAGAGACATCGGTTACGAGGCAGATGAAAGCACCGGAGAAATAAGAGCTTTGCCATTTCTTTACGGTTAAGCAGCGTTTTTTTATTTTATTTCCGCTTAATTTTATTGAATTTATATTTCTTCGCCTTCACGGCCAAAAGCTTCTAGAACATTATACATTATACGTGGATCGATATTATGTTCATGACAGTGATTCTCTTTAAGCGCGATACTCGTTGTCTGACGTTGGGCAACGTCACACGTTATATCCACCGTGCTATTGCGACCGGAAAACACACTTCCGGGATAGTGCAGTTTTTACTTAGAAGACCGAACTTCGCTGCAGATTGTCCGCAGTGCATTTCGGGTAGTGCAGAATGCACCGCGAGCGGCGGATGTATATTAGGCGGATTCGCAATAGCGGGAGCGGCGAAAGGTCAGGAACTTGATAAACGAGGCTGTTTCTCTGCACCCTAGGATATCCTAGGGGCTCAAACCCCCCTTACGGAGTTTAGCGCACTTCCTATACAGGGAAACGGGAAATTCGAGTATGGTTCCCGGGGGAATTCAACCGGTTAGATTCTTCCTTCAATGTTTTTCGTTTCACCCCGCACCGTCCCGACGTCCCCTCGACGCCCCTTCCAACCTTAACAACAACAACCCTCTGGATTAAAGGGTTACGCCACTTTCTACAATTAAAGGGTTGTATCTCTTCTCAATGAATTTCGTACGAAACTACCTACTACGTGTATGCATGACGTAATCCGCTGTTACAGTCGCTTACGACTCTTGGTGTGTTTCGCGTCGTCTTTTTTTTTTTATTATTTTCTTCTCAAAGTATCAAATCCGGAAATTTTGTTCTCTTCACGGCATTAGTCAACATTTTTTCTAATATTGGTCTCCAGTTTGACACGGCATTTCGGATTATCGAAGTGCCACTTGCCTGCGATATATAATGCTTCTTTATTCTTGCAAAAAGGGGATCGTCTGGACTAAAATCCCAATCGTAATTTTCCTGTTTATTACTTTCGCTATATATAGCACTAGCAACGTTCATCGTTGCGAGATCTTGAGTGAACTGAAAAAAAAAATAAATACGGATTTGATCAAATTGTTACCAGTTGGATTAGATAAAATTTACGCGCCGTATTGTATGTGTTTATAATATATCCATTTGACTTACGCGTATGTTGTAGATATATACCGCTGGTCTTATGATAACAGTACCTACTTTGTTACCAACGGTAAATTCTGTTCTGACGTCAAAGAAAACTTCAAGGTTACGAAACTGCACTGTGCTGTACAGAGTTACTTCGCTCTTTGAAATAATTGTACTTGTACCACGATTATCTACTTCTAAAGATTCAATGTCCATCACGAATCCGTCCTCGTAGTAAGCATGTCCTACGAGTTCGTGTCCCCAGGTAGTGGTGCTGAAAATTATAACGCACAGTCTGGATTTGACCATTGAGATATTATGAGCGAAAAGATTTTCTTCGTAGAGACAACGAAAATTGTCTTTCTCTGTATGGCGAGTTGAAATTTCTATGGTAATCTACCAAAAGCTCCTGCAGGGAGACGATGCGCAAGAAAAGGGAATAACGTGAGAGGCACGTCGATATTTCCATCGCCCTCGAGAGTTACGACATTGAGAGTCTTGAAAAACAAAGTGAAAAATTCGCACGAGAAACGTTTTCCAATAGGACGTACCCAGTAACTCGTGGACAGTCACGTTAAAAAACAATTTTCAATCTCGTTACTTACTTGTACGCCAGATCGTAATCGCCTACTGGTAAATTCGAAAAGTCGTTTTCGACTAATTGATTCCACACGTCTTCGACGATTTTACGTAAGTACTCGTCCCCCTGGGTAACGTCAATACTACTTGCACGGCTGTTCGATACGTATAAATATAGAAGCGTGAAAATGTAAAAAATGAGCTTCATGATTCTCCGTGCCTCGAAGTATACCGAACAGCTGACTGGAGCCGAAGACTGTTCAACTCGGAATTTTATCAAACCTCGGCATTCAATAAATCATTTGACGCGAGCCGATAAACGATAGCTATGATTGTAAATATCAATTTAAAAGTCTAGACTAGAAAACATCAACGAAATATCAATATCGCTTGAATATACGACGAATATCGCAAAATTAACTTGTCGATAAGTTCGCAAGGACAGCGCGGATGAGATTAAAACTTTCAGTAAATTTCAGTGACTCGCGTATTTCCAAACTCGGCCAATTAGGAGCACCGACTTTCGATCTCCGCGTTTCTCCTCTGCCTCGCCCGCGCTGAAGCCGTGAAGAAGTCGATCGTCAAGTCGAGCGTAAAGTCTGCGTAATTCGTTAGTCTGGGGATGACGTTTTCTCGGAACGTACAAAAAAAAAAAGCCACCGACTCAATTATGCAAAAGTGACAAATTATGCAAAGTACTTGTAGGGTCTGACTTGACAAGCGAAGGGAGTGGCGGCAGAGAAGAAGTGAGCGATGGGACTTTTTTTTGTCAGCCGAAAACTCATCCCCATTTTCATCTCCGCAAGAGTCCCTGGAACTAGTAGAAATTCCCTCAAATGACAGACAATTTAATTCCGTATGACAAGCACTCGTCACGTGACGTATTTTTAGAAAATTTTTTTAACCCTATTTGTACAATATATATACATACACTCAGATAATACATACTGTCGATAATAAAAAAAAAAAACAATACACCATACATCGTATACGTGGGTATTCGGGAGTATTGCATCATCCGAACGTGGCTCTACCGTGTTAGAATATTAATAAAAATTAAATGGACAGAAACAATTTTAGGTGATGCACAACCATATGTATCATAGGCATGTAAATTATTGACTGTATATTTAATCACGTAATTTTATTGATATATGCATTATAATACGTAGGTATATATATATATATATATATATACAGGTGTAACAAGTGCAAACGTAGGAGGTTCCGATAATAAGGGCGGGCGCGTGGCCATTTATTCCCTGGATGAAGTTCTTGTAACGGAAGCTGCTTGTACAGGTGTAACAAGTGCAAACGTAGGAGGCATGTAAATTATTGACTGTATATTTAATCACGTAATTTTATTGATATATGCATTATAATACGTAGGTATATATATATATATATATATACAGGTGTAACAAGTGCAAACGTAGGAGGTTCCGATAATAAGGGCGGGCGCGTGGCCATTTATTCCCTGGATGAAGTTCTTGTAACGGAAGCTGCTTGCCACTTCCAGGCTTCCTGTTTGACTGTTTGTAATTTTACGCTCGATATGCCATAAGCTTTCTGACATGATTCAGGAGTGGCATCGGCTGTTTACCAAAGAGGATGCCAGCGGAGATATTTTATTAGTAGGATGCCACAAGAGAAACCCCGAGGCACCGAGGTTAAATTCACATCTTCATAGATAAATCCAAATCGTCGCTCTTCCGGTTCCGCCTTTCCTTCCGCCACTTTTCGTACCTATATAATTCTTCATAGCCGCGTAGACCTTTACTTCCTGAAAGTAAACGAACAAACTGACTGACTGACAAATGGAGACATATGGGCATGCCTCTGTTTATATATCTATGTATATATACACAAAGAATCCAGACTATCTATTTACTGCATGCTAAAGAAACTGTCCATGGTTCCGTTTCTTGCATTGAACTTTCTACAAATCGTTCGCCCATACGTTCCCTGAGAACTCCGTGAAACTTTTTCCCCAGCGTCTACCGAAAGTTTTCCTGTTTTACGGTATTATGAATCCCAGCCGTTTCCGGAAATAAAACTGGTCTTGGTTCGCCTACCATTAAATATTCGCATATCGATTTCTTCGTTGGTAGGCACATGCTCGTAAAATTCGTATCTGTGTAGATATGTATATTCTTTTTAATCAGCCGACACATTGGGGATGAATTGAATTAAATTGTTATTTTTATTATTTTATTATTAAACGGATAAAAGGTTTTTCCTATACACGGTAACGAGATGAACGTCAAACAAAAAAGAGATTATTGGTAGAGAAAGGTTTGAAAGCATGCGGGCAGTATTATTTTCGAAGATACATATAAATTTTGTGAAAATGAATTTTTAATATCAATGACGTCATCCTGGCCGTTCACCAAAAATTCCTTGTCATCGTATCCACTTTATATTTTATTTCACGTCGTATCCCATCGTACTTATACAAATAATAACAGAGCCCAAGATATACTGGAGATGGGTAAGAGATGACGAGTGGCAAGAAAATATGGCGATTGGTAAATATACCTATGTATATGCTTCCAAAGAAAAGAGAATCTTTCGTTGACGTGCAGCATCACCTGGACTTGTCGTCTGCCGAGAAGAAAATAAACGAAGTAGAAACTGGACGGCGATGGAAGATTGAAAGTAAAAGAAAATAATAAAAAAAAAAAAAAAAAAAAAAAAAAAAAAAAAAAAAAAAACAACACTATAAGACGATGGTCCGGACAGTTTTTACGGAGTCTGTGTGTACCAAGAAGAAAAAAACAACGAATGTAGAGAAAGACAGAAATCATCAAAGACCAAGGTAACGAATAAAAGGAAAGAAGTGAAAACCGGGTACAAGGAAAAGCTCCAGACGTCCTTCCCATCGTGCATAATTCAGATTCGCGGTACTGGCTCCCGGAAGATAAACTCCAGGCAGTATTTTATTGGCTAGTTGACTTAGCCCGCATCGAGGGGGTAATTTATGTTTTGAATATGCTAAAACTCCACTCATAAATATGAAACTAACGTCACGTGCCCGAATGAGATAACGAAAATTTTCGCGGGACAAAATCACCCACCCCCTTTGACCCACCAGAGCCAAAAACTTTTGTCTCTATCTTTTTTTGTCACGTTACCCCCCCCTCTCCCCCTCCT